TTACAAATTCCATTCAACTCACCTGCCCGCCTCCAATGGCTTACGCAGTCAACTTTCATCATCAAATGCATTCGGCCCACGAGGCTCATCAAGTACAAGCGCATACTGAACGCTTCAAACCAACTTTTCCAAACGTGACCCAAATCCAAAACTCGCGACCCGCATTGCGTCGCACCCGTTTGACCTCCCATCCAACTTCCAGTCGCAGGCCCGCATTGCTCAAAACCGCATTCGGGGTGCTACATACATTCATGCTTACCAACAGGATACAAGGCACACACCTTCCACTTACGAACAAGGCTCGCAGGTCGCCTTAGAGCGACGCACCCTCTTGGAAATGCTTCCCGCTTCCAAGTAATTCTCCCTCCGAGGAACGATTCCCATTCATGCCTTCTGCCTCCGGGCAAGGCTTGGAAACTGCTTCCGAGCGAGGCTCCCTCCAAGGAATGCTTCGCGCCTCCAGGCGATGCTCGAATACATATCCGGCCTCCAGGATAAACTCGAGAATGCAGGCCTCTCAGCAGGCTGGAAGACAGAGCGCCTCCTTTGAGGTGGGAAGGCGGAGCGCCTCCCACAAGGTTGGTGGCAAAGTGCCTCCCAATAGAGAAGCACCTCCTTACAGGCTTGAATGTGGTGCGCCTTCCACAAAATGAAAGACTAACACACTCCTCCTATAAGCGCGTCCTAGGAAGCCGAAAGACTAACGCACTTCTCAAAATCGGAAGACTAAAATACCATTTAGAAATCCGAAAGACTACGCTTCCCAGAAAGCAGGAAGACTAAAGCGCTTATCAGAAAGAAGGACCAAAATTCTCAAAGAGCTCGAAGGAAGAACCCCTCCAAGTAGGCAAGAACACCAAACACCTCCTAGTAGGGACAACATCGGCAAGAAGGAAAAACTTGATCATGCCTCACACGGGTAGGACACTGACAAGGCACATGAGCTCCCAACACACATGGGCACGACGTTAGTAAGACACAAGAGCGTTTGGAGTTAAAACTCTCAACCCCGCTTTGCCACAAAGCCCAATCTCTGTCCAGATTCAAAGACTGCCTTAGCCTGCCATGCATCCGGGACAATCATCGTGAGACGCCTTCATTAAGACCGCCTCACAAGGCACGCCCATGTGCAATTATCGTCTCGGCACACTGCATCTGACCTACAGCCGCCTCTGGCGATCCGCCAAAGCGGTTAGCACGTTTCGCATCCAATCTGCTCCACCAACGGCGGTTCGCTTCACACATCTGGATTATTCACTGCTGCATTGGGTCGCGGCTTCAACAGTTCACATCCCGCGTCTCACGAAAGATTCAGGCCGCCCTCAAATCGGGTCCGCATTCATGGGTCTGGTCCGCAACAACGAAGGCTTGTCTTTTAGCTTCCCATTACACAATGCATGCTAGTCCCGCGCCCGGCCCACTTTGCCTTCAATCAACGCCAAGCCCCAACATCACTCCGTGTCCAATTCTGCATGCAGGCTGAAGTGCATACCAATACACTAAAAGACCGCTCTATGAACCCGAACGCGACTCTAAGAACTTGGACCATTCTGCAGCTACCTCCTACAAGGAAAAATGCATCCCACCCCGGAGTGATGCTTCCACCCGTGTTTGAAGTCCAATTCCGCTTACCCGTAAGCGCGACATCGGTACATCTAGAAACACGATCCTGCCTCCAGTAGGTGCGACATCGCCAAGATACAAACAACGTCTTTAGTCACAACCCTCAAGTCGTGGGGGGCCACCCTCCCTAACACATAGCTAACACCTAATATTCAGCCAACAACTCACGCTTAACATGCACACAAGCTCATGCCCATCTCGCGGTCCAACAGCTTAACGCATACAGCTCACAGTTACGGCCCACATATTAGCATGCTCAACAATGGTCTAGTGGGGAAATCTCAAACGACTTGAGAGCTCTAACTCAAGATATCGAATGTTAAACTAAGAAGCAAAGACGATGGTCGCACAAGGGGCAAACCGCATCGTTTGGACCCGCAAGGGTCCAGTCCACTCGTGGACACCCATCACCGGGAGGCATCCTATCACCCGGAGGCGTCCATCACCAAGAGGCGTCTCAACCATCGGGAGGCATCCATCACCAGGGGCATCCATCACCAAGCAATGGTCGCACAAGGGGCAAAACCGCATCGTACGGACTCGCAAGTAAGGCAAGTTAATACACCTTAACGCATTATTTTACTCCTTCCATTCTTACAGAATACAAGAAGCAAAGGGGAAAATGTTGGGTATAGTATTAACCCGCCTAATACGGGCCCAAGCCCACCACAAAGCGTCTCACCTTGGGCCCAAGTCCATTCTAGGGTCTGGTACACCGAGAGGCGTCCAGCCCACCCGGGGGGCGTCCTTTACCCGAAGGCGTCCATCACCAGGGGGCGTCCACCACCGGGAGGCTCCCATTCACCAGAAAGCGTCCATGACAACGGGAGGCGTCCACAGGATGCCTCCGACTCCTATATAAGGAGGCCAGACCCTCCAAGTAAAGGGACTTCTCTCCTTTCCCTCACTTTACCAATGATGGTTCTCTCTCTAAACCCTATCTCTCTCTACACTCTATCATATATCTATTCTAACTTGACCATCGGAGTGTAGATCACGGGGGCCGCCCCCGACTCTCCACAGGTTTCTTCCACTCCCGAGGAGATCAGACGATGGAGTTCGGATCAAGGTTTCACACTAATCCCCGGTACTAATCCGGGTCAAACAAATTCCATTAGAAAGCCCAAAACTATTCAAAAAGTGTCATTTGTGTCAAACTATTCAATATGACAAATCTGCCACGAACTATTTTTCCGTTAATGTTTACTGGCGTTGACTGTTGTATTTAACAGAAAATCTAGTAAGCATCTATGTGGTTTGTGCCAGATCTTTCATATTGAATAGTTTAGGGCACAAATGTCGCGAAATGCATATAGTTTGTGTCAGATTTGTCATATTGAATAGTTTAGGACACTTAAGACACTTTTAAAATAGTTTGGGCTTCCTATTTGAATTACCCCTAAATTAATAATTCATGTCGAATGATCTTAGTTTACGGTAAACGTTTTTTTCCTTAGTTTTTTGTGATTAAAATAGTGAACCAATAGACTAGTCAAACTTGCGCGGGGGGGGGGGGGGGGTTGACTTGATTTTATGTCAAACATTTAAAAATTGTTAGCCGTCCAAGTAAATGAACTGCCACTATTGTATCCGGTTTGGTAGTTCTACTAATCCAGCCATATATCCAATTCCATTCTTATAATAATGTATATATCTAGATCTAAAAACTAGGAAGAATTTAAACACTTGACTAACGAACGACCCTTTTAGTCACAAGATCCGCACTCATCTCTTTCTCATTTTCTTTGACAGATTAAGATGCAATATTCTCAATATCTAGTTGCAAATAGATGGATATTACCACTCTCTTTCATATGGCGCGCCAAGTATTATCCATGGCAAACACCTTATTATTCGATCACACAATTTATCTGATTTATATGTGAAAAAAAATTAAATCCTGACTTAAAATGAAAGAGATATAACCCATTAAAGACTTATAACACACTAATTTAGCAATAAATTATCACTAATCATAAACAATTTCAAATCCATATCATATCATCAAAAGTTCTAACTAATCATTCAAACTATCTCATAAAAGAAATAACAAATTCTTTCATTAAACTCAAGTTAGAAATTAAGGTGGCAACCCGAAGTTGACCACATAAAGCCGACAAGAAGGCTGGGGAATGAATAAAAGAAAGCATAAATTAAAGGGCTAATTCCACAAGAAAGCCCAAAACTATTCAAAAAGTGTCATTTGTGTCAAACTATTCAATATGACAAATCTGGCACGAACTATTTTCCGTTAATGTTTACTGGCGTTGGCTGTTAGTATTTAACAGAAAATCTAGTCACCATCCATATGGTTTGTGCTAGATTTGTCATATTGAATAGTTTAGGGCACAAATGTCACGAAATGCATATAGTTTGTGTCAGATTTGTGTCATTTGTGTCAAACTATTCAATATGACAAATCTGGCACGAACTATTTTCCGTTAATGTTTACTGGCGTTGGCTGTTAGTATTTAACAGAAAATCTAGTCACCATCCATATGGTTTGTGCTAGATTTGTCATATTGAATAGTTTAGGGCACAAATGTCACGAAATGCATATAGTTTGTGTCAGATTTGTTATATTGAATAGTTTAGGACACTTAAGACACTTTTAAAATAGTTTGGGCTTCCTAGTGAAATTAGCCCTAAATTTATAATTCATGTCGAATGATATTAGCTTTCCTTAGTTTTTTATGATTAAAATAGTGAACCAATGGACTAATCAAACTGGGGCGGTTGGCTTGATTTTATGTCAAACGGTTAAAAACGGTTCACTCCATCTAGCCGTCCAAGTAAATGAACCGGGCCACTATTGTATCCCGTTTGATAGTTTTACTAATCCAACCATATATCCAATTCCATTCTTATAATAATGTGTATATCTAGATCTAAGAACTAGGAGAAGTTTAAACGAATGACCCTTTTAGTCACAAGATCCACACTCATCTCTAAGATTCAATATCCTGAATATCTAATTGCAAATAGATGGATATTACCACTCTTTCATATGGCGCCCTAGGTATTTTCCATGGCGAACACCTTAGGATTCGATCGCTTACATTCATAATCGACAAGAGGGCATTCCGGCCATTTGTCATTTGGTGTCCAACAAGGCAACCCATTTAGGCATCTCCTTGAAGGGAGTTTCAGTTGAGGGATTCTACGGCAGAAGAGGTTTTCTTAAATATCTTGGTACCGATTATGTCGAATGCAAATCCACAAGTGAACCTATCTTCGAAAAGCTTCAAAATAACCTTCAGTAATTTTCCGCATCTTCCAAAGATATTTGAAAACCGTTTTAGTTGGAACATTCAGAGCAAATATGAAGCTACTCGGAAAGAAAGTGCATTTGCAAATATGTTACTGAAGAAAGAAGTGCAAATGCCTGCCAACAGAATCTTCTGCATGAAAAGCTAGAAAACGTCAATTTCAACTCAATCAGCATATGATGGATTACTCAATGGAATTACATATGCTAGCTAGTCAATTAGGAATTTAGGATATTCAGTCAATTAGGATATTCAAATGAAATCAACCTAGATATCAGAACAGAACATCAGAGTTAGAAAAGATCTGTTGCTTACAACAAAAGTACCACGACGGCATCACAATTTTGGCTCAAAACAATCCAAGATCTAACATTCTTTCGATGCTGCTTCTAGTCACGATCAGCATCCTCTATATCTTCGTCCTCTGGCACACCACGCATATAGAGAACATTGTTGCATCTGCAGATAAATATGCAAGTGAGTGAGATAATGGCAGTTCATTGCATAGAAAAACACATTAACAAATAGATTCCACAAGCTTCACTGTCATACATCCATCGCACGATAAATGATGCAGATGACATTGAGGTCAGGGATTGGAGCCCCAACTACCCTTCACTGGTCGTAAGGTCCTGAGTACTGACTACATAGCAGCTCTCCGATCACTTACTTTCCATAGTTAGCGTACTATGTTTAATGTATGGAATCAAATTTTGAGTAATGAGTAAATAGTAAGGGGCTCATTCGATAACAAATTGGTAACATCAGAGTTCTAAAGAAAATTATGGTTCTCAATGACCCTAGCAATCTACCTTGTGAAAAAGCTTGAGATTTTGTTACTGTTCAGACAATCGTCTCAAGTTCAGAATTTGAGCATAATAATTAAGCATATCAAACGATGGACAATCCATGGAGAATAAATGTCTCCGTCTAATCTACTCAACTCTCTGATCGCAACCCATCCTCAATGTTCCACCTCATAACTTTGGCATCAATACATAACAAACAGCCAAATATCGAGTCTCCAACACAAGAATTCAAATCTAAACAATCTTCTGGAGAAGCATGTTCTAGAAAGTCCAAGCTCTCAGAGGTTTCCAAAGCACAGTTAAATTAAACCATCCACTAAATGAGGAAACTTAGGTGTCTTACCTAATCAAAATCTCCCCAAGATTGCCAGTAAATTGTCCGTCAATGTACTCTTCAGCATTCCCTAGCTGCACATCAAATTCCCACATTACTATACAGCGGCAAAGGAATACATTAAAAAAAACCCAAGGAACTCAGGAACCAACTGGGAATAACCATATGAAATTGTTTGCACAGAACGAATGAAACAAAAGGGAATTAAATAAGAAGCAACTATTATTCTTCTGAGCCATCGAATAGGGCCAGCGAAGAAGAATCACCTGGAGGTTCATGTACGAATCCACTGAAGCAAGAAACCCTGAAGTAACAGAAAAAGCAACAAACGGCCATATCAGCTTAAAACAACCAGCATCCAACTATACAAAAGGGAAGGGGGAAAAAACAAACTTTTATCCTACCTTTATACTCCATGCCCCATTTCAGCTTCACGATCACAGTCTTCCCGGTCAAGTTGTTCAAGAACGGCTTAGGGTTTACTGGCACAGTCTGCATGCACAAAACAAAATCAGCGCACAAAATGGCGAAAATTTCACAGCGGGAAAACCCAAATCAAACCCCGCCAGAAAGACGAATCAATCCGCATAAGACTTTCAGAAAAGAGCTCACTCACCGCCATTGAAGTTTATACAGAGAGGAATGGACTAGAAGTAAACGGAGGAGGAGGAGGAGCAGCAGAGAGCAGCGAGTCTTCACGAGCGTGTTGCAATTTGACTTGAATTGAGGTTTAGACTTTAGAGGTATATACCCCTTTGCTTTGCGGGGAATACTAAATGACGACGAGCTTGGGCCTCGGGAAAGATAATAAGACCCATAAAGGAAAGAGAATTGAGCTTTAGGCCCAGTAAAGCAGTCGAGCCCAAGTTCATACGCGTACACGGTTTCGTTTCCTTTTTCCTGGAAAGCAAATTCCATCCATCATCTTGTTTTTCTTCCACATTCTGATTTCGAAGCGCGGAAACCCCCCATTACCAACCAACCAGGGAAATTCGTCTGTGCGATTGACCTTTGAGCCATGGGGAACACGGAGAAGCTGATGAACCAGATAATGGAGCTGAAATTCATGGCGAAGACGCTGCAGCGGCAGGCGAGGAAGTGCGAGAAGGAAGAGAAGGCGGACAAGCTGAAGGTGAAGAAGGCGATCGAGAAAGGGAACATGGACGGAGCTAGGATCTACGCCGAGAACGCGATCAGGAAGAGGACCGAGCAGATGAACTATCTCAGGCTGTCTTCCAGGCTTGATGCCGTCGTTGCTCGCCTCGATACTCAGGCCAAGATGACCACTATCAACAAGTCCATGGCCAACATCGTCAAATCTCTCGACTCCTCTCTCGCTTCGAGTAAGCTTTTCCCTGCTGATCCTTGCTTGCCTCTCTCTGAATTGAAGCTTGTTGATGTTGTAGCTTTGGCTTGCTTTGATTTGGATGTATAATTTGCTTGGGGGAATGAATTTTGTTTCTGCCTTTGTAGGGTTTCCGGTAATTAGAAAAAGAAAAAAAAAATCAATGATTTATGTCTCAATTTCTTGTTAAGAGTCCTTTGTCTAGGAATTTTTCGACTTTGTGAAGACAAAAGTCGTTATCTTTTTCTTCCGGGAAGACGGATCTATGAAATGGTGGGTTGCTAAAGAGTGGAAAGATCTCCATTGCCTTGCTTGTTGGTGTTTTCCGTAATGTTTGTAAGAAAGCTTGTGTATCTTTTATCTGGAGATCTCTGGCTGTTGACATTTTGAAGGGGACGATGTTTTGAAAGTCCTGTCTGATAGGTGAAGCTGTTTACATGGATTTGCAGGTAATTTGCAGAAGATGTCTGAAACAATGGACCAGTTCGAGAAGCAGTTTGTGAACATGGAGGTCCAAGCAGAGTTCATGGAGAATGCAATGGCGGGTTCTACTTCACTATCCACGCCCGAGGGTGAGGTCAACAGCCTGATGCAGCAGGTGGCGGATGATTATGGACTGGAGGTGTCAGTTGGGCTTCCTCAGCCTGCAGCACATGCTGTGCCAACCAAGGTCCAGGAGAAGGTCGACGAGGATGACTTGTCCAGGCGTCTTGCAGAGCTCAAGGCAAAGGGCTAAAAAAGTGTGATTGAATATGTCAAAGCCTTTCGATTTGTGTTGATGTGATGCACTAAATCTATATCTGAAGATGTGTTCTTCATAGATTGCAATTACTTGCCTGAGCTGGCATTGTGTAAATTTGACAAAATGGAGACTCTTGATTTGATTTGTACAATCTCTGTGTTGAATATTGATGATGATCATGCTGCGCCTTTGTTCCTGTACCATCTTCTCCAAGCTCGCTCTTTAATCACTTTGCATTGTTGCTTATCTTATCACTGGATCTATGGATCTTTATGAGAGTGATAGTCTTACCTCTAAGTGAATTATGTTCTTTTCCTTCATGTTTCTCTTTCACAACCGCATCATATGGAACTCGATTGATTCTCCGAAATCCCTCACCGCTCAATATCTCAAGAATTAGCAGGTTTCCAAGTTTAAATTCTTATTCGAAAATTTCCTTTTTTTAACCATAGCGCTAAAGTGTGACTCAAATCTGACAGAACATTTCCTAGCTTAAATTCTTTCTTTGAATCCGAAAGGTCATTCAACCATTAATGGCAGATAACAATATTACTTCTCAACTTGGAAAGAATTGGCTCGATACCACACAACTTCTAACAATGGCCAAGTGTAACCAATGAAAAGGACTGCAGTATATTGGTGCAAGTAATAAATATCGAATCCTCAGATCTCTAGAAGTACTATTACTGAGCTTCAGTTCATTATCTATCAAATCAGATTAAGGATCGATTAACTAAACTACTCTACTAACTAAACTAAGTAAAACTACTAATTACAAGTTGGGAACTCACTTAGGTACAATTCCCTCTAGTTTTGCAGTTAGGTGATAATTGTCGAAAACATATTGATTGTGTGTAATGTGATTATTACACGATATGCTTACGACATATAATACTTGTTTTAGGTCCAACTAAGCCTGGAATGGTTATAAAACCATTATCATCAAGTGCCAAATATTTTATATATTTTAGGTAAATGAAACGAGAAATTTGCATTGGTGGATAGAATAATTCAAATGGACGGGATGTGCATTGGACCGGAACTTACTGAGGAGTTGAACCGGGACTGGACTTTTATGGCCTAGGGATTCTTTTTGGGCCTGGGCGGATGGAGGAATTTTGTAGGGGGCAATTAATTGCAAGGGGGAGGTTGGTTGGACACGTAATTTGGAGGGAGGAAAAAGAACGAATTGCTTTGGGAGAACTCTTGTGGGGACAGCTGGGGAAATTATTGGACGGGAGCCAGGGACACAAGGTTGGGGGGACGAAATTTTTTTGGCAGGGGATTTCTTTGGGGAAAAGAAAAAAAAAAAGGCAGAGGGCGCAGCGATAGCTTGGGACAAGAGGAAGAGAACAGCTCGGCGAGTGACATCTCCCAAGGCGTCGTGAGCTTAGTTAAACAAGAACAAGGTGTTAATATTAGGGGTGGCTATACGGTCCGGTCCGGTTAAATTGGCCCAAATTGATCCGGTCCAGTCCGGTTTTTTTGAAAATATAAGGACCGAAGATTGGATTGGATACAGTCCGGTCTTGATCCGGTCCGGTCTTGACCCGGTCCGGTCCCAATTCGGTCTTGATTTTATATTGAGATTGTGGGAATTTGAGTGGCCTAAGGCCTAAAAGGGTGAGGAGTTGGTTAAGTTTTGTACTAAGTGCAAAGGTTTGTAACCGTTTATGCAAATTACCCTTAAGTTTTGGGTGTTGAGCTCTCTTATCCGGTCTTTATCCGGTTTTTTACCTCAAATCTAAGCCCAAAGATTGGATTGGATTGTTTACTATCCGGTCCCGGTCCGGTCTCGGTCCGGGTTATACGGTCCGGTTTCCGGTTTTTCATCCGGTCCCGGTCCAAATAGCCAGCCCTAGTTAATATGGGGAAAGTTAATCTGCTAACTTGAAAATTCGTTAGCAGATACTAACTGATATCCAAAATACACGAACTAGTATCCAAGTACTAAAGTATCTAGAGAGCCCAGACTAGTATTCAAAGTTTGCTAACTGATATCCACCATGAATCAACTATTATCCCAAATTCACAAACTAATATCTAGACAACACAGAATAGTATCAATACAACACATAATTAGTATCCAGATAACGCATAAGAATATCCAGATAACACATAATAGTATCCATATTGAATACTAGTTGGTTGATTGTGGATATTAGTTGGTATCTGCTATCTGGATACTAGTTTGTAATGTTTAGAATACTAGTCTGTGCTATCTAGATACTCAGCAGACTTGGATATTAGTTCATACATTTTGGATATTAGTTAGTATATACTAACGAATTTTCAAGTTAGCAGAATAATTAGGCTGGTTGATATGACTTGAATCGGACGATCAGCCGCTACGACTGGTAATCGGGGGTCAGCGAGTGGGGTCCAGGGGCAACGTCCCGGTGGGGGTGCGGGGGCAACGCCCCCGGCCCACGGTGTATGGGCTCAATGTTATTTGGGTTCGGGTTCTGGGCCTAGTCTGTAACCGTTTCCTTTGCCAGATTGGATTAGGTTTAGACCCACATGGAGAAGTACTATAAATACTTCTCATACTCCTCTGTAATCTGTAATCTCCTTGATATAGTGAAATCGGCTCTCTCTCGCCCGTGGACGTAGCTAACACACATCGTGTTAGTGAACCACGTAAATCGTCTGTCGTGTTTTCGATTCTCGCTTTCGTATTCTTGCTTTGTCGATCCCGGCAATTTCCCGATCCGTAGCAGCGCGTTAATAACAAGTGGTATCAGAGCCGCGGCTGGAAATTAGGCTAGGGTTTTTTTTCGATTCAGAAGAATGACGTCGGTGAACATGAAGATCGAAAAGTTCACGGGGAAGAATAGCTTCGCTATATGGCAGATCAAGATGCAGGCTTTATTGAAACAGCAAGGGCTGTGGGGGCCGCTGTCTGCGAAATAGAAGAAGGCAGCGATCGATGACGATGAGTGGAATACCCTGGAGGAGAAGGCCCACCCGCCCATCATGCTATCGTTGTCTGATGACGTCATCATTGAAGTCGCTGCTGAGAAGACTGCCGCGGGCTTGTGGTTGAAACTAGAGAGTCTGTATATGACGAAGTCTCTAACCAACAAGCTGCATCTCAAGCAACGGTTGTTCAGCTTGAGGATGCAAGAAGGTACGCCTTTGAGGGAACATCTCGAACAGCTTAACTCTATTTTGCTGGATCTGCGTAATATAGATGTTCAAGTTGATGACGAGGATGCTGCCTTAATCCTGCTGGTTTCTTTGCCGAGTTCATATGAGAATTTCGTTGATTCTTTTATTGCCGGTAAAGAAAGCGTGTCGTTGGAGGATGTCAGGTCTGCTCTTCATACGAGAGAGATCAGACATAAGGCGTCCGGATCTGGTACAGGTGGTGAGGCATCGGGTTTGGCTGTTACAGGTGGAAAGGGAAAGAAGAAATCTGGTAAAGGGAATTCGAGCAAGAATTCCAAGGGTCCCGGTCCACAGCCAGGTGATGCTTGTCACAACTGTAAGGAAGTGAGGCATTGGAAGTACAACTGTCCCAAGAGAAGAGGGCAACAGAAGAAACAAGGTTCAGTTGCCGTGGCAGAAGTGGACAACAGTTCTGAAGACGATCTCGCCTTGGCTGTAGATGAGAAGGCACATCGTGGGGATGTGTGGTTTCTGGATACTGCAGCCTCATACCATATGTCTCCGAACAGGGAGTGCTTCACAACCTATGAGCAGATAGATGGTGGTAACGTGGTCATGGCTAATGGAGCTGTCTGCAAGGTTGTTGGAATCGGGTCCATAAAAGTTCGGACACATGATGGTTCGTTCTGTACCGTGAATGATGTCAGGCATGTTCCACGAATGACAAAGAACCTGATCTCCTTGAGTCTACTCGACAGCAAGGGCTTCAGCTTCAAAGGAAAAAGTGGAGTTGTGTATGTCTGCAAGGGTTCGAGGAAGGTACTGAAGGGCATGAAGCGTGGGACCTTGTATGCATTACAAGGGTCTCTGTTGTCTGGTTCTGCTGCAGTTGCATCGTCTCAGGTTCAACAGGAAGATATAACCACTCTCTGGCACATGAGACTGGGGCATATGAGTGAACGAGGGATGCAAGTTCTATCGAAGAGGGATCTTCTTTGCGGGCACAAGGTGCAGAATTTGGAATTCTATGAGCATTGTGTGTTTGGGAAGCTACATCGCAGCAAGTTTCCCAAGAAGGGTATCCACCGGACGAAGGGGATACTGGATTACCTCCACTCCGACTGTTGGGGTCCTTCACGAGTTGAATCCATTGGAGGCAGCAGGTATTTTCTGTCTATTATTGATGATTATTCGAGATTTACTTGGATTTTCATGATGAAGCAGAAAAGTGAGGCTTTCACGAAGTTCAAGCAGTGGAAGACATTGGTGGAGAATCAGACCGGGAAGAAGATCAAGAAGCTGCGAACGGACAATGGTCTGGAGTTCTGTAATTCTGAGTTCAACGAATTCTGCAAGGATGAAGGGATTGCCCGTCATCGGACTGTTAGAGATACACCCCAGCAGAATGGCGTTGCAGAAAGTAGGGCTGGGCATGCGGGCGAATCATCCGCGGGTTTGGGCCAACCCACCCGCATTTGACCCGAATTTAGTTAAGTGGGTGGCTCTATGGGTGGGTGATGGGTTGCGCTGGGAGCCATCCGCCGGGTGGTGGGTGGGTTGTGGGTGGGTGCGCGGGTGACCCGCTCAACCCAACAACAAAAAGATCAAAGTCGTCGACGCTAGAGAGGGAAGAGTGGAGACGTTAGACATAAAATAGGACTGCTCCTGGAGTTTGAACCTCAAAGTCAACCTTCCAAATAGCGATCCCCTCTTCTTCCCTTTATTTTTTCCTCTAATTCTTGTGCCTAGATCACTGCTCTTTCCTTTGTGAGATTATTTTTCTTAGTTCCTTGCACCTGATAATCATCTCAATCTGTAGAAAACTCTTTCATAATAGAATTTCTATCCATTTTAAGAAATAATTCGACATTTTTCGCCCTATTTCATCTTATTGTTTCCCCAGATAACTCTCTTCGCCTATTATCATGTCAAATTGACTTCTTTATATTATATACATTGTGATGTGGGTGAACCCACAAACCCACCCAAATCATCCACCATCCGCCCGACCCAACCCGAGACTAAATGTGGGTGGGTGG